CGCTTCCATCTGCCAGTGGAAGAACATACACACAGACACACACACACACACACACACACACACACACACACACACACACACACACACACACACACACACACACACACACACACACAGAGAGACATTGCATAGATGGTGTGAGTGAGGGTTTCTTGATGTGGTGAGTACTTAGCCATTAACTCAAATCCATCCTAGGGAGATATCAACGTTCGACCTATGGATGAATTAATTTAGTGGAAGTAAAAAAAGAACAGTGTCACACTCATCATTTGTTGGGTGAACTTGTGTTTAGCAAAATTAATGTGCAACACACACCTGTGAATGCAAATCTGGAGCGTCGGAAGATCACACAAGTGCAAATCTGTCTGCAAAAAGCAAGTCACATGTAATTTCCCATCAGCACCCGCCACAACAAGAAATTTCGAGGTTGAATGACGAGAACAAAAGGCTCTGTGGACGAGGCGGAACAGCAGCATTCAGCCAGCAGCAGTGGCAGAAGATGAAGAAGAAGAGGAAGAAAAGTTTGAAAAACAAGAAACAGCAAGGACAAAGAAGATCAAGAAGAAAATGTAAGGTGAACTCGGAGAAGTCTTCATACCAGACCAGGTCCTTGCAAAGGCAGCAGGAAATGAGACTCGCCAGATGGTGGGATAGATTGCGTAAGAATGATGATGAAATGCAACATCGAGAGAGCACAATGATCTGTGAAATCAACAGACTGTGACGACATCTTAGTGATGTGACTCATGTGAGTGATTCTGCCGTTTCTTTTCATCAATGGACTTGAGGACATACCATAGCAGTCAACGACTCCATTGCACAGGTACCATTCAAAAGGATGGTAAATGTCGTCATCATCCGGCCACCATGTTTGTTTGGCAGTGCACATCCGTTTGCTGGGACATTTTCCTCGGCGAGGCCCGCAGTCGAACTCCACACAGTGATCTCCTTCATCCGAGCCATCATCGCCTGCAATGCAAATGACGCACATTTCAAAGACCCGTAAAGATGCAGTTCCGGAGGTGATGCACTTCAGACAAAGCAATTTCAAACCACCGGGCCATGGAGGAGGCAAGTGGGACATGGAAGAGTAAGAGAACTCATGGCCTGTGAAAACGTGCGGTGAGTGAAGAGGTATAGCTTAACAAACTGCTAGTTCTTCAACATGGATTTAATACGGGTTGTACCCTTCATAGGGCCATCGGAAATGATACTATATAATTAGACGGGAGTATAGTAGAGTAAGCGCGGATAAGTAATGCAATGCAATTGTGCAAGGTTACAAGTAAAATTATTCCACTTAAAATAGAGTGTACCGAGAAGAAAAGATCTTAATAGCTGGCTGGAGAGTCAATAGCTGTCGCTATGGGCTCAATTGGCACTGTCTCACTGCATATTCTGTCCATTTTGTCTCTGTCTGTCTGTCCCTGTGTCTGTCTGTTTGTTTGTCTGTTTGCATGTGTGGGTGTGTGAGTACGGGCACGTTTGATGTGTGTATATGGTGTGGTGGGGGGGGGGGGTTGTTCATTGTGTGCAATTGGTCTGTGCCTGTGTGTGGTGAGCCGTCACAACAATGACAACGACAAAGAACCCTTCTCCTCCCAGATAAGCAGATCCCAAATTGAAAGAGCTTTACCTCCATAGCAAATAACATGAAGACAACATCATGATGACGCCAACATGAAGCACACTAAGGTGAGCAGATCTAAATTGAAACAGCTTTAACTCTACTGGAAACAACAAGAACACAGTAAAACCGTTATATGTGTGTGCATCCGTGCACGTTTGATCTGAGTCTGTGCAAGCGTTTGCTGTGTGTATTATTGGGAGCATGTGTGTGTTCAATGTGTGCACTTGGTCTGTGCCTGTGTGTATGAATGCCAGTGGGAGCAATGTGCCTCTGCAGAAGACTCCGGAGAAGACTGAGAAGCTCTAAAGAAGACAGGGTAGAACGATTTTGGGTCGAGATCTCTGTGCAGCACCCCCCTATGGAATGCAACATCACCCTTAAATCCATACATGCTTGTCAAGTATTGTTGTAGCTGCGGCGTGAGCCCTTTCCTAGTACTCGGATGCATATATTGCCCCTAGGAATGGGCATCCAAGCCGTCAGACATCGAAGCTTCTTTTTTTTCCGTCTTTCGTTACCTTCTATCAGACAGAAAAGGAGTTCCTTATTAAAAGGACAAAAAAACAAAAGGTAAGGAGTTCCGATAACATCATCAGGCATATATTTCAGTGCACCTGACTACTTTCTCCGAAAATTGGAGTTTTTGGAATCCCATTTTCCAACCACCATTACCTGCTCCAAAATGCAGACGCGAGTTCCAGTCCTGATGCAATCATATGACCATCATCAAATCATGGGCGGGAAAACCAGCCTGAGGGTGCTGTCAGGCTCTCAGTTGGAAAATCCATTTCAGTCACCATTCAAAGAATGTTGTTGTGTAAAAGTTAAACCAAGGAAAATCGTGAATGTGTACAACCTCGCACAATCATCACAGGCTCCAGATCCTTCGGGAACAGGCTCCAGATCCTTCGGGAATATTCTTTTTCATGCGAAAAAAAAAAAAAAAAAAAGTTCCAGGGAAGGTTTCAGTTTGAAAAAAACGCGTTTCATTCAACGATTTCAAGAATGTTGTGTCAAACCAAGGGAGGGAAATCGTGAATGTGTACAACCTAGCTTTAGGGTCAAGGGGGTGTTGTATTGACAGTATTGGTGACTGCGCCCTAGGTAGTGAGTTACCCCCAACATCATTCTGAATTACCTGGGTCCGGTCATTTCGATGATGATGAAAGAGAAAAGAATGAAAAATGTGAAGTTCGAGAAATCAATTTCCCGGATCGTTGTGAGGACCCCGGCACCAATTTTATACCCTATTTATACACGCAGAAATTCTCCAAACGAAAAAAACAAAAAAAAACAAAAAAAACAAAAAAACAAACAACTCGTTTTGTCCTTCTGGGTCCGGGACCCACTAGCGCATTTTTTACAATGGTGGGCAGTTGTTGTCAACCACGTGTGGCGATTGGTGACAAATGGAGTCCGTGGATGGGGAATAATATCCACGGACCACGGCCATGGAAGATCAAAAGTTTTATAGGTTTGAGGACGGTGTTTCGTCCAATGCGCAGGCAGAAAAGCCGTCCGTTTTTTAATTCAAAGTTCAATCACTGTAGCACCGTTGCATTGCCATCAATTTCGGAGGTGGGGGGCAAAATCCAGACGCTGCTACAGTGATTTGCCTTTGTGCTACACACAAACGCCGCGACAAAAGGGAAACAAAGATGTGTGTACTGCCAGTGCAAACCTTCAGAGGG